GACAGCAGCTGCACGTCAGGGACAAGGGCTCTGGCCTGGGGCAATGGGAGAGTGCCTCTGGTTCTTCTCGAGCTTACTAGTGGTACTGACCTTGCGTGCTAAGACTAAAGTCATGTAAGGGAAAACCCAGGGATTCAGGGCTTACTGCTTGTTCCTACTACTGTGCCCAGTACACATGAGAAAATTCAGCTCTAAACATGGCACATACACCACATGAATCAACAGTCTGAGAGCTGGAATAACTGATGGAGAAACAAGGGAGCTACAGGAAGAGGAAAGCAGCTGCAGCAAGGTGTACAAACTCAAACCCTGAGTTTACTGCTCAGCTCTTCAGTCAGCTTGTCAGTGTGACCTAATCCTCCTCGGTACACCTCAGAGAGGGGAGTGGAAGCAGAAACACGTTACTTTCTGGCTTGAATCTTATCAGGTTTCCTTTCCTTCGGACAGACATTTTAAATTTGCCACCACTTCTCTGAAGATACCAAACTATGAAGCAAATAACCCTGGTTTTGGCTGATGTCTCACACTAAGGCAGAGGAAAGCAGCTTTATCAGAGTTGACACTCCTTTCTGAGTTTGCTCTGTTAACATAGAATCGGGTGCTTACAGCCTATGGACTGAGGGAGGAAAATGAATCAAAATGGTAAACAGTCTACATTTTTCAGCTTACAAAGTCAGGCACTGAGGTTTAACACACACAAAAATGAGTCCGAGGGCAGAATCTCTCACTCTTTATAATATTTCCCAATGCATGGTGTAGGCTGACAATTATTTTCTGCTCTCTGAAGCCTGTGGTTTGAAAACTGACAAGTCTGTGCTCAAATTCCCTTTCCACTCTAAATGCCATTTAATGGCAGTGTAACTGGAAGGGTCAAAAATCAACTCTCACTTGGCATGGCCCTTTCCAGAGCCAAAGCCATGGTCCCTGCTGAGGCACAGGAGAGCTTCTGACTTCCATGTGGCCATTCACAAACATTGGGCTTGCTCAAGAACAGCCTTAGCAGAAACTCTAAACACCAAAATGCTTTCAAGAATACAGATTGTACTGATGGTAAGAGAAATTAATCAAATTACTAGAAGGCTGTCAAGAACATTAAAAGAGAACTTAGTTCAGTGCTGGTGTTCTGACATGAAAAAAATAAAAACACATTTCACATGTCTTCATGATGCATTTATTTATGCTGCTGCACGTCCTCTTTACCTTACATCAACTTGCAAAATGAACAAAAAATACCTCTCTCTGCTTAACAAGGTGAAGACCTGATGCGCCAAATCAAGAGTCTTAGGGACATTTGGATATATCTACGATTCTGCTAAAAATGCAAACTGAAAAAAGATCATTCTAAAAAGTGGCCATTAAATAGCCTTTGCAATGCTCACACTTTCTCTTCCCTTCTGGAAGGGAGGTGGGGAATGATGCTATCAAATCCCAATTGAAATATCTATGTGGTCAAGGTAATTATTTAATGTCTTTAAAATACTATGTGTCTGCAACAAGAAACAAGAGAATTACAGGGGTGCAGGGAAGGATGGTTTACACTGGCAAAGCACCAATGTTTGAACACAGTCAGCAACATCTGTGTACTCGCAGGAAGTACCTGGAGCAGCCCATGGTACAGAGCTAGGACCAAATCCTAGATATAAATGGAGTTCTCTTCCTGCTAGGGCATTCTTAATTTCTGTAACAATCACACTAGAGATAGATTTACTTCTGCAGACAGCATGGTTAATTAAGCCCCGCTTGTACCAGAGCACCCTTGGGAACTGCACTGGACAAGGGCTGTAAAAGTTACTGCTCAGTCTACACCTCTGGGAAGGTGCTTCCCTTTCTTAATGAGTATTCCCATTAAGTTTAAAATAGAAATAGAAGTCTGTGCAAAAGCTCAAGTGCAGAACAACCCTTAAGAACAGATATGCTTTATGACAGCAATTAATCTAGGCATTAGTTTGACTTTGAAGACAAAGCACATCTCCAATGCAAGTGATTAGGCATTTTGGGGGTTTTCTTACAAGATCTCTCCTTGTCACAAACAAGGAACAGACCTGAGTTAGCTGGATACAGCCATAACCTGAAAGTCAGAGGAGATCCCTTCAAGAGTCAGACACCAAGGCTGTCCTGTCTCATCCAGAAACTGGGGAAAAAAAAAGACATTACATGACCCTGTGACCCATGGCAGCACTTCAAATGACATTTTCCTGCTCTGGGGCTAGTGGCTCATAAAGTACCATTCACAAAGGGAACATCAGGAATGAAGTTCCACAGAGAAGGTAGGAATACAGATTTTTTAACATTTTTATTACACAGTAAAGAATACAACAATACCTGAATCATACTTTAAAAGATTCACAGGTTGACAGACCATACATTACAGTCCAACTAAAGAAAAAAAAGGATAAACAAGAAACCACAGTTCAGACATAGTAGACTTAAAAGCTCAAGAGTATGCTGACAAAAGCACAATGCCTAGACCCCACCCCCCCTCAGTGTTAGTCTACCATTAACTTGTGGTACATGTCTGAAATTCAGTATTGCACAACAACTTTTCTTTTTTTTTTTTTCTTCTTCACAATAATGTCGCGGAACCCAAAAAATAAAATAAGAAAGTACTTCAAATCTGCATTTCAACAGTCTCCAATTTTAATTTTTTTTAAATTATTTTTTATTTTTTTTTACTTTCTGTTCCTTGAGGAATTCGGACAACATGGAGTCACTTTCTTCCCCTAAACGTATTCCAGACATAGGCATGCTTTGCATAAGTAAACCAGCCTTGTAATTTTTAAATCCCCAAGACATGCACCTACACAAAATAAAAAAAAATAAAAAATAAAAATTAAAAAGAGAGACAGGCGGCCCCTGTCACACACAGTCTCATGACAGAGAAAGAGATAAAGAGGAGAGTAAAAGAGACAGAGAGAGGAGAGATAGAGGACGCCCTATTCCTATTAATGACCGCCATTCAGTTATAGTCCAATGAAGTTAACTTTTTTTAATGTTATACCTACAAATTATACTCTCA